TACTGATTTCACTGCTGTCTTGCTGTGTGGTCTTCGGGCCGCTCGCTGGCAATACTCTGTTCGGACTGGGCTCGTGGCGTCCTGCGTGCGCTCCATGCAAGCGTGCTCGGCGCCGCAGCCCGAGCCAGCAATGGCAGGTATCCCTCCAGGTGTCCCCTCTCCGCTGGCGCGCTACCAGGAGCACATCCCCTGGCAGGGTTGTCACCCTTCGTGCCTTGAGGTGGCTCGCGCCAACGTCTGCAATTATGTGTTCACGCCTGTCCTCTGAGCTGGGATGTCGCCTTTCGGAGCGTACCCTTCAGCAAATCGTGCGGTTGGCCCAAGCCAGCGGGGTCGGTCCGCACCGGCATGTCGCTTGAGTGGGGATACGCTGTCACCTGGCCTTTTGCTCTTGAGATCCTTCATACGCAGTGCGCCTGTCCTGCGCTTCCTGGCCCTCTCCCTGCCCTTGATCTGTGTTCCACGTGCGGGCGGGCGCGGCTGGCTCAGAGCCTCTCCCTTGCTCATGGTGTCACGGGCTTGGGGATGCTGTGTGTCGTGGCTGCAACCACTGTATCCACTTCCGGCCTCACTGTCGTTGGGACTGTGGTGCTCATGCAGCGTACCTGCCGTCCGCGGCGTCGTTCAGCTCTGCCCTGACTGTGCGTTCTCTTGGTTGTCTGCAGTTGCTGCCTCACCTCTCCGTCCAGTTCATCCTTCTTTGCAGGAAGCCCTGAGTGCGCACATAGAGTCGGTGGTTAGTCAGGTCCATCCAGGAGCCGGTCATGGCGTGGCTCAGCCGCCTGTGCTCAGCAACCGTCGCATCAAGCGATGGCTGTACCGCTTCCTGCAACGTAGATCCGACCCTGTCACAGTCTCCGCGGCCCTGTATCGAGAATCTGCGTCGGGAAGGGGGGATGGTCCTGACCGTCGTCGCAGGCGAGCCTGCCATTGCCTTGGCCTGAGCTCGGGAAGGTCTCACATCCTACCGGGCCTGTTCTGGGGTGCCTTGCATGCCTGCGTTTTCTTTGTTACTCATGCTCAGGCCCCCTAGTTTCCGGCCCCCCTGTTTCCACCCTCTGCCCCTGTCTTAGCTGCGCCGGCCTTGGGTTCCCCATGGTACGGCTTGTGCCTTGGCTGCGTTTATTTTTCCGGCCGGCTTGAACCCCAAGCTTCGGCCAGGGGGGAAGCGCGGGCCTGGCCTCACTAACATGTGCTGGCCACACACCAACCAACCAACCAACCAATTGTCTCGTGGCTCTCCGAGCCGCGCGGTCGCGGGTTCGATCCCCGCCTGGTCCGCGGCAGCTCTGGCTGCAAAATCGGGAATTGTAAGTACAAAAGAAGTACGCGGAGTACATTCCCGCACCTCCAGCTCCAAAGTCGCAAATTTTAAGTACAAAAGTAGTACGCGGAGTACATGGGCTTCGCGTCGGACAAAATAGCAGCGGCTGTTGAAGAATGTTCGCCAAACTCACTCGCAAGTTTATCCCTTCCACACACATGGCTTTCAATGCTTTCGGGCCAATCGTCCTCTAGTTTTACTGGTCCCGGCTCGGGGCTTAACCCCGGCTCGGAGACTGGTTCGTTGGTTGGTTGGTTGGTTGGTTGGTTGGTTGCTTGGTTGGTTGGTTGATTGCTTGGTTGGTCAGCTGGGCGGCCGCATCCCCAGCATTTCCGGTTTCTTGTCACGGCTGCGTGTGGGGATAGCCGGCCTTACTTGCCTCACTCGGACGAGAGCTGCCTATTGGCTTTGATTTGGTGGTTGATCGGGGCTGGCTTGGGGCCACCAATCCTAGCCCAAAACTTGCAGAACCATATCCCTGAAGCAACCCGAAAGCCACGGCTAAACCAGCCGCACATCTTGCACGAATCAGCCCCAACCAAGCCAAAACCGACCCAAAGTCAACCTGAAACCCTCCCAACAGCATCCTGCATATCGGCCCTTTGCCGAGGCTAAACGAACCCCAAACAAACCCAAGACCCGCCCGCATTATTATCTCAGCAAGCCCAACACTCACCCCAAACCAGCCCCGATCAACCCTGAACTGCCACCAACTCAAAGCCAATAGGCAGCTCATCGGCTATCCCGAGCATCAAGTCATGCCCCATAATAGTAAAATGCCGGGGCTATTAAGAAAAACACCTCAACCGTCAATGTATGAAGTGAATTCCTCAAGATTTGAGGTTTGATGGCCATGAAATGAGCGCGAACAGATCAGATCTGGCAGGACCTGACCCAGCAAGTTCTTCAGCTGCAGACAGTCCCTTTTGCAGTGCCACTTGGCCCCAAGCTTGTGCTGAAACTGAGAGAGACTCACAGAAACTGCTCCAAGCGTCAATGCGGCGCCATGTGGACATGCATGTGAGGTGCTGCTATGAGGGCGATCTGCGCATGGAGCCTCTCGGGTGCATTGGGCTGGGACCGGCTAGGAAGTGTCTCTTTTGCTTAGCGCGTTTTCCTTGAGGTTGGCCGATGCCAGCGAAGTGCTGGACCTTGACTCTTGAGATCTCTTGAGACCTCTTGAGATCTCGAGAAAAGGTGGCACTGGCAGCTGTCAGTCGCCATGAATGTAATTCCGGACCCTCCCGCCAGTGTGCGACTGCGGGAGAGCGGACACTGAGCCGGCAGGCCTGATGCTTTGCCCGCTGATCCCACCATGTGCGCACATCCGAGCGTGTCGTTGTTACATGTTACCTGAATTGCTGGGCAAGTGTCGCATTCTGACCTGCGGAGCTGGCAACGGCGGGCAAGGCTCGTTCGGCCGCTTGCACGGGCTCAGGCTCCTGTGGCTGTGGATGCGGGAAGCTCACTTTGGAACATAGGGTAAGTCACAGGAGCCTGTGCTGCAAAAGCTGCAAAAAGGCTTCAAAGAATTCTAAGTCAGGCTCATCCATTCTTCTGAATGCGACCTGTCTCCCACGAGTGACGGTTGTGATTGAAGGCCGACAAAGAACAAAGCAGCACGTGCTGTTTTTCCCCAAAACCGTTGCGCAAGTCCGAAACCTGTTTGTTGTTGAAGGACGTGGTCCAAAGAGGCCCAGTGCGGGCATGGACTCCCACCTTTGCGCCAAGCGCAAGAGAGGGAGATCTTAAATATTTAGAGCACGCGGCATTCACCTTACCTATTTACCTGGTTTTGAAGGCTGCTGGGGCCGATGTCCACAGGCATATGGCATATATCATATGCCGCTTGGGACATGCTGCTCGACTTGACACGAGTCCCACAAATTGGCGACAGGGCAAAGCGAAGGGCCAAAAGCGTCGCAAACGGAGGCCATGTGGGGGAGCTTGCCGCTTGCGTTCCTTTGTGCGCTTCGATGCCTTGTTGAGTAGAGTCATGCCCAGCGCACGAGCGCACGCAGGGCCTGAGTTTTCAGCCGGGTTGCTATACCTTGCGTGTAGCAGAGCATGTGGCTGCCTGCCAAAGGCAAGACGCCAGAAACAAAAAGGAGAGCAGCTGTGAGGTCAATCCTGCAGTGTTACAACTGGTTTTCACAGATTGCTGCCCATGGGTAAAGGCGAGATTTGTATATTTGATAAGACCTGTTCTTCTGCAAGCAGGTAGCCCCAGCTACATTTCCAGTCAAGGCCTTGCATTGTGCATTGTGTTTCATCGGTCTGGGGCTTCAATCAGCATCGAGTGCAGATGTTTGTGCCTCGGAGTGGCGTTTGGTTGCCTCCAGGTGGGACTAGTCCTCTCTATCCGCTTCCACTTGAACTCTTCACAAAGAGAACCAGGGACCAACGACCGCCAACGGAAGTTGCTTGGAGATCGCTTCTTTCAGCTGTGAGGAGCTTCGCGGCTCGGGCTGACCCAAGAGGCGCTTCGAAGCTTTTCATGCTCCGTTTCAACTTGCTAAGCTCGTCGAAATGGCCTGGAGTGACGCAGGTCGCGGCACCCCACCAGGTGACTCCCTGGACGAGGGCTAGCCAGCTCCCCGGACCGCAAGCGCGGAAACTGCGAAGCCGAAATCAGACCCTAAAACGAAATTGGAGCTTCTTCAGGCGCATGTTTTTGGCACAACTGTGCCTTATTTTCCTACGAAACTTGGCACAGTGACTCGACTGATCAAAAGAGCTAACCTTCTCTTGCCGAAAGACATCAGGGTATGGCTTGCAGACGCGCTTCCACGGCTGTCCAGGTACCAGCTGCGCCTCTTGTGCGGGAAAAAAGGAGTGTCATGATGTCAGGTGTGAGCAACGTTGCTGGTAGTCTACTCGTTGTTCGGGGCCTCCCAGTTGTTCTGCATCACTAGGCTGGAAGCACGTTTTGTGTCACAGTCCAGCGGTCCAGCTCTGGCGGCCGCATGAGCCTTCCGGGGTGAATCGAAAGACTTGTCACGCGCGAGGACGAAGAGAAACTTGAAACGTTTGCACCCCGCAGGTCGAGAACTATTTCTACACCGTCCGAAAGAACGTCTTCGAGTACGATGATGTCGCGGCCTCATGGCATCTTGTCAATCTTATCTCATGGCCATGTGAGGCTCAGAGGCTCAGTCCGAGTTGTTTAAAGATTTTAAAGCTCAAGCTCGAGGTGATGGACACTCAGCGCAAGATCGTGTATGGCCTGCGCCGCCGCGCCTTGCTGGACCCAGATGAAGACATCCGGTGCGCCTGTCGCGTGCTCATTCAGAGCGCAATTTGGAGTTGTCTAGCAAGTCTAGCAGGAGTTTTGTGCCTTGGCGATGCCATGTTAGATGCGACAGGGTGACCACTGGCCCGCTGGCTTGCAGGATGTTACTTTCACAGGATTCCTCAAACACTGACCAGTCGCAACGTGTTGTTTCTCGAAGCTCGAAGAGGTCAAGCTTCCAAAGTCACACAGAGTGTAAGCAGCATTCCGTGCTGTTCAAGCTGCAAGCTGCAGCGGGTTGCATGGAACCCTAACTACGGGAACCACATTGAGGTTCCAACAGTCTTAGTGAGAATTGCATGCGTCAACGCCACAGCATGAACTTGCCTCCTGGTTTTGCTGTTCTGTTACTATCCTCAGCAAGCCTACCCAGCCTCATTCCAGCCTCCAGATTTCGGCGAACACTTGGCTGGCCCGAAGCCGCACATGCCGCGCTTCTCAGAGTGGGCAGAGCAGCAGCGGAAAGAGTCCGACAACGCTTTGAACATAGTGCGCTGCTTAGATTTTGGCATGGCGTGTGCTCAGATTGTTCCAGAGAGATTGGGGAATGTGGTGCCAGTGTGGCAGAGCCGTCAATCGGAAGCATACCACAAGCAATCAAAAGTCAAAAGCCAATCTCCCGTGGTTTCAATGAAGTGACTGAGGCGGGCTTTTGCATCGATGCGGTGGCGCGCAGAGAGCTGCAGGCCTTTCAGGTCGACAACAGCTGCTCGGTTGAATCGAAATCAAGTGCAAGCTGTTCACATGATCTCGCACGTCGGACATATGGCAGCGGCTCAAAAAACCGGTGCCAAATGGAACCACTGCGAAGTGGAAACATGGACCAAAACTTGTTTTTGAGCCACACCCATATGTTCCATGTGTGTGTGTGTCAGTGCGTGCATCAGATCTTGCCACTTAATTCAACCATCTTTGT